TAATGAGCATCTTCCTTCATGGTTTGGAAAAGGTCAAATAAAATCCATACGAAGTTCTATTTTGGCTCATTTGATTGATGGCGGTCACCAAGTGGACAAAAATAGTGCCTTCAAAGTTATCTATCGCATTCCATCGAGTCTTTCGAACGGAATCAGAACCCGCCTTTTACACTTAGCCGGAGCTATGGGAATTAATTCGAGAGAACAATCCCAATGTCTTTGCATACAAAAGAAGTTTGTTCTACCTTTGTCTCTCCCTTGGCCTAGGTGAATTCTATTCAAAACCCTCCCACCCTTTCTTATCTTCCATTTCCTTCGTACTTTTATGACATTTATTTAAACTCTGATTATCGTTCCATTGTACCTTTCAAGAGTTGATTTATTTATTGAATTGTCTACATATACACATGTATACATATACTACCTTTGTTATTCTTATCACCTGCATAAACCTTATTATCAATATTTCGTTATCATTATAATCATCGTTATTAATTTCGTTCAAAACATTCACCACATTATTATTGTTATTATTATTATTTGATCCACAAAATCACCGTCATTGGTTAAAATTTTTTATGTATAAGTCTATGTAAATTAGAGTAAAGCCTGAAGAAGATCTAATTGAAAACAGCAATATTGTTCGCTTATATGTCTTGTTCTAATATTATAAATGGGAATACTTAAAGATTCAGAATTATATTCCAAGTTGTTGATAGTTGTATTGAGTCACCCTTGTTACATGTATCCGGTGTGACTTTAATGAATATCGATTCTGTTAGAAGTCTTTCTTTCCATTTGTTCATGGTAGTTTTTAGAATACACACATTGTTCCAATCGATATTGTGGTTTTTGTCCCATGCATGTGCAGCTATCGATGAATTTTTTTCAAGATTCTTGTAATCTTGTGTTCCTGTTGGTTGACCTTTGGTTAGGCGTTTATGTTCATTCACTCTTATTTTGAGTGATCTGGACGTTTGCCCCACATATTTAGTCGGACAGTCAGCACAAGATATTTTGTAAATCAAGTTGTTTTTATCCATCATTTTTATGGGATCTTTCAGTTGATTTATTTTATTTTTGATTAGATTTGTCGGTTTAAAAGTTGTGCGAATGCCGATATTTTTGAGGTTTCTTTGAATTGCCTCTGATGTACCATTTTTATATGGTATTGTGACTGTTTTTTTTGTATTCTTCCATCTTGTTATTCTCCGGTTTTACCCTCTTTTTCTTTTTTATATTATCTTTTATAAATTCTTTTGGGTAGTTGTTTTCGAGTAGCATTTTGAATAGGACGTTTATTTCTTTACACTGGTCCTCTGGTGTTGTTGTAAGTCTACGTATTCTATCTGCAAGACCTTGTATTAATCCTCGTTTTACTGTGAGCGGATGAGCTGAGTGATAATCAAGGAATCTTCCAGTGTGTGGTTTTTCTATATAGCGTCGTTTTTATGCTACCATCTGTTATTCTTTGTATTTTGCAGTCTAACATAGGCAGTTCCCCAATTTCATTCTCTATTTCCATAGTGAATTTTATTGAGTCGACATGGCTGTTTATGTGTGAGAAGAGTTTCTCAATATCGTTTTTTCTCTATTACTAGTGTGTCGTCTACATATCTCCACCAACATTTTAGTGATGACCTGAATGGTTTAAGGGCATTCTCTTCCCAATAATCCATGAATATGTCAGCTATTATTGGTGAGATAGGCGATCCCATGGCTACTCCTTCATTTTGTTGGTATATTTTCCCTTCGAATGTGAAATATGTTGTTGTCAACGAAAATGACCAACAAAGATTTGACCATGAGATTGAAATCAGTTAGAGAACCACTGAAAACCAGAAATGGATAGCCGTTCCGTTCCTATTTGGAACCCATCAGAAGCATACACTAACCGGCCTGGGGTTCGAACCTAGGGCCTTACGATTTAATTAGACAATTCAGCCACTGGGACCCCCCCCCGACTCAATGGACAACCCGTGAATTCCAACTTCTACAAATTCATGATTTTAGCCCAACCAACAGCCAATGTCATCGGCGAGTATTTGTCCTCATGCCCGACCGGATGGACCCCACTGGTCACGATGTCCCATTATAACTCCAAGCAACTTCGTCACCAGTGAGCAACAGATTAATTTTCAAGATTTAGTTTGTAGCAACTTGATTTGTTTCAAGTTTCATCACGAGCTGACATCACTTGGAGAATCATTGCCTGAATGGTGTGCAAAGTTTGTCTTGTACCCATAAGGTCCTGGCGTTAGAATCCCAACTGCTGCGTACTGCCAATGAGTCCCAAACTAGGACGAAACAGCTGTGCAGTACTCCTTGGTTCTCTGACTGATTAATAATCCAATTTCAAACTTGAAACAAATCAAATCCCTACAAACTACCTCTTGAAAATCAATAAAGATGTAAATTAACAACCACGATGATTGTTCATAGAATGAGGATAGGAAGTGACCCACGAAATGGTATCCGTTCATTAAAAATCTTTGATTGCTAGTTTAAACCCCATAGGGGAATGTATACTGTCTGGTTGCAGCCCTCATGACACTAAGACACAACGCTTTGAGACTGTTAGTGATATCAAGTGCGTCGGTGGTATAGCGGTAGAATGCTCGCCAACAACGCTTCATGTGGTATATATATTTAAACTCTGATTATCGTCCCACTTCATCTTTTAAGATTTGACCTAATTCATTTGTTTATTGAATTGTCTACATATACACATATTACTACCTTCGTTATTCTTATTGCCACCTGCATAAAACTTATTATCCATATTTCGTTATCATTATGATCATCGTTATTAATTTCGTTCAAAACACTAACCACATTATTATTGTTATTATTATTATTTGATCCACAAAATCACCGTCATTGGTTAAATTTTTTTTATATATAAGTCTATGTAAATTAGAGTAAATTTAATTTTATTTGAGATTTTCCCGTCGATTGATTGAACCGAAGTGCTCTGTCTCAGGTTGACATGTCGGCTTCTTGTGCAGATGTTTCGACGATGTCCACTGCTAGTCACCTTGCACAAAAATTAGAGTAAAGCCTGAAGAAGATCTAATTGAAAACAGTCTTGTTCTAATAAAATTCTGAATACAAAATACATGAATGGGCAAAAAAAAAATAATGAACTATATATATGAGTACAAATCATAAATGTGTGAACAAAACAATTCCAACAGTGGTGTGAACACGGGGAGTAATTTTGCTCGAAATATTACCAAAACACCAAAACTTATCATTGTGTGTAAACTATTAAAATATTTATTATACTTTATTTGATCTAATCCACAATGCTCAAACTTTTTACTGATATTAATGCGTTGATTTATTTTTGATTAGTTGGTAAATTTGATCCATAATAAATGTGTCTGTTAATCGCTGATTCATCTGAGTACCAGACTTCTAGAAATTCCCTGGCAGTAATTTTGGTGTTTCCCCTATTTAAAAATCTCTACGTTTTTCCAATCAAACTGGTGTCCATAATTGTCTACATGTATCAGTAATATGAAAGAATACATGTCGTGTCTTTTCACAGCTGACTCGTAATGATGTCAGTCTTAAAAAAAAAATAATTTTTTATCTCATTGAACTAAGTACGACTCTTTACTTAACAATTTGTAGAGTCCACTTCTATTCCATCTACTCTCACAGATTTCTAACACTTCTATACCATATGTTCTTATTTCTTCTGCAATCGGAATAGTCTTATCGACTTTAAATATAGTGTGGGCACTCCACGCCCCCCCCCAGGCCACATGTGCCTACTTTTGCTTTCATCAAAAGAAGACTTATCGGCTGACTGACTTCCGGAAGATTTTCATCAGCCGGTCTCATCCGTTCTCGAAATGAGGAGCCTTCCCTATTCCAAGTTTGTTTGTGTGTGCTTTAAAGTACCACTTGTGATGAGAGTGTTTTTCATTGAGCTCGGTTGCTACCCCCCCCCCCCCGCAAGACACACACACCCAACCACTATTCCGATACTTAAGACACTGACTAGTTAACTAGGCGAGTGTTTTTTAGGGCTTTAGTTTATTACCTCACCTGGCACATCGGGTTCAGAGTGATCAAGAATGCCCCAGTGACTCTGGTTGGAGGCTCACCATTGCATATTAACGGGTGCGAGACTCGTAACGAATCCTTATCAGGTTCTCCTAAGTGTGTAGTTTTTCTCAGTGGTGCGGGGGGGGAGGTTTCACAGTCCTCCCTTCAATCAAATGTACTGTTTGGAATAAAACCATTATTATTACTATTATTATTATTATTATTAGAAGTTAATTGGTGGATGGTAACTAGCAGTGGAATACAGGATGCGCGTTTCGTCCTATTTGGGACTCGTTGGTGGCTGGATGCGCCTGTATTCCGCAGTGAGTGATGATCTTCCCACCGAGGATCGAACCGAGTGCCCATAGTTTCAAACGCCAAAGCGTTATCCACTAGACCACTTGGGCCACGAGAGCCACCTATTCCGCAACGGGTCATAATAATTATTTAATTGAATTTTAGATTTTCCCGTCGATTGATTGGATTGAAGTGCTTGGTCTCAGGTTGACATGTCTGTTGGCTTCTTGTAAAGATGCTTCGACGATGTCTGGTCATGTAGCTTGAAGTCAGTTAGTGGATGGTGACTAGCAGTGGAATCCAGGATGCGCATTCCGCCCTATTTGGGACTCGCCAGGTGAATGTACCTTCGGTGGGAACACCATCACTCAATGACTGGGGAGTGCAGGTACATCCATTCACCGACGAGTCCCAAATAGGACGAAATGCGCTTTATCCTGGATTCCACTGCTATTCGCCATCAACAATTTGACTTCAAGTTACATGATCAGACATCGTCGAAGCATCTGCACGAGAAGCCGACATGTCAACCTGAGCCTGAGCACTTCGGTGCAATTAATCGATGGGAAAATCTAAATTTGAATTAAACATTATTATTATTGATGTTCTTGTATATACTTCCTGTTGATCTTTTCATTCAACAGATATTCTTGGTGATGGAAAAATCAAACCACGGGATTTCTACACTGGACCACCATGGATATTAGGTGCACGAAATGAATACCAACGTGTATGTGGTCGACTGAATAATGCAGCTATTGTTGCATGGATGGAAGAATTTGAACCATCCAAATTGCAAGATGAATATAAATTACAAAGATATTTATATAAGAAGATGAATAAACGTAAAAATATCAAATTTCAACGATATCGTGATTCACCATAATTTCATTTTATATTATATTGTGTTTATCTCTTTTTTTGGTTTGTTTAAATATTGTGTACATATAGGTGTATAAATAATTAAATAAATTATTATTATTATTATCTGCTTTAGTTCCTAGAGAGGAGTATAAGGCTTCAGCCGCGCACGTCTCCATTGTGTTCGGTCCTCCGCCAACGTTTTCATCACCTGGCTCCACACGTCTGCCCACATGCTTTCATCTCCTCTTCGCATGACCTCCTTCTCCTCCTCCATGTCAGCCTCTCATTGACGATCAAATAGAGCATGTTCTTTGTGCTGATTTCATTCCCCATGACCTGTTCCCTCCTACTGTGTACTGTTCTCATTAATGATTGGACTATATAGGATGGAGTACTTGTAGTTTTAATGAGAAGTCGTCATAACCGTTGTGGTCTACCATGTCAAGCTGAAGCGGATGTTCATTATAATTGGTGTGTAATAAGGTTATATCTCAGATTGATCAGAGTTGGAGTTCACAGATCATATATATCTTAGCAACAAAAGGGATATTTGATTGGTTGGAGGATTTCATCACGAGCTGACACATCAGTTAGAGAACCATTGGAAAACCACATGGGAGTACTGGACAGATAGCTGTTTCGTCTGCCTAGTTTGGGACTCTTCGTCGGTACGCACCCACACCGCCGGGTTCGAACCCAGGACCTTCTGGTTACAAGTCTAGTGAGCTCGTAGACCATTAAGCCACTGGGACCCTATCCAATGGCCAGTCCATGAATTCTAACTTCTGCCAATTCATGACATAGCGCGACTACTTCGAAATGTTTTCTTCGATGAGTTACTGGCTCACCTTCAACCTGCTGCACCCTACTAGTCACGGCTTCCCACTAGAACCCCAGGTTAACTGCCTGAATAGGGCCAGTCGCTAGTGAGCATCAGATTAATTTCCAAGTATTAGTTTTGTAGGGATTTAGTTTGATTGGTTGGAGGATTTCATCATGAGCTGACATCAGTCCGAACCCTGATGGGTGCGTACCGCTGAAGAATCCCAAACTAGGCTGACGAAACAGCTGTCTGGCAGTACTCCCAGCTGGTTTCTCAATGGCTCTCTAACTGATGTTAGCTCATGTTATGAAATCCTCCAACCAATCAAACAAAATCCCCTACAAGACTAATACTTGAAATGAAGTAATTTGAGTGACGTAATATAATTGACGGGACTGAGTGGAATTCAACTAAAATTTGAACGAGAGTTCAGTTAATAACACTGGTGATGAGTGGTAGAGATTTAATAGGAGGTGGGTGAAAAGAAAAAACATCCAGAAATTACGTATTCGGTGCAATTTAAGATCAGGTCCATTGTGTGTGTATTAATTAAGTAAGTGACTAAACAAACTTCTTTTGTATGCAGAGTTCAGGATTCGACATATGAATGAATAGCTATTGCTTCTGCGGTTTGAAGGAATTTGATTTGTACTCTTTTAGTATGATTCCCACGTATTCTGTAGATCACTTTGAAGTTGTTCCTTTGTGGGTTAGCTTGGTGTCCAGATTCTTCGATCAGGTGTTTCAGGAGAGATCTGTGTGCTGGTAGTATTGGTGGGGATCATTTTCCTCTTTTCTAAAACCATGACTGTGGGTAAGTGTTCGATGATACACTTTTGGATAACAAATGCTTATTGCGGCCGACATACTTAGCTAGCTCACACACAAGTAGGTCAGTTGATAGATGCACATTGATGAGGCTGGCCAACAGTGGTAGCTTATCCTTCACGTTCATGCAAATCATTGGTTTCGTAGAAAAAGTTATTCAAAATTCAGCCGCGAAGAAGGCTTTTTTGACTGAGCAGGACAGGCAGCTTTTGAGAATTTCTGCTGATGAGTCTCCGTTGAATTGTAGACTCAAGTAGAGAAGTCTTTTAGGAGCAGAAAATGGTGTGATCAGTTTCAGGGGATTTTGTAATGAAACATTCTGCCTGTTGTTGGTGATTGGTGTCTTCTTTTCATCCAAGTGAGTTATTTTTTTCTACCGCCTCTTCTGTCAGACAGAATCTTCTAGGCATTTTAGCGTCCCGCGCATATATCCGTCATCTCCGTTCCTACAGTCTATCACTCGTGGTAGTCAGCACTATAACATCTCACACTCACGTTAGTATGGAGGACAACCGTATTTGAAATCGATTGCATTGAGAATAAAACTGCAGTTTGAGTATATAAATCCTTCGGATACAGTATATCTATTGAAGAGGTGAACAATACAGCGAGGAGAAACACTTATTACAGTTTTCGTGTCAGAATCAATAGTCTGCAAGACTACTACGTGACCAACATTTAAACAACTTTCTTATCATAATAGTTAAGTTACTTGGTAAAAGAATTTGATTCCAATTAGTGTCTCCAATTTTTTTCTTTTTTGTTATTTTACTGATAACGGAGTTCGACTCATTTTTGTCTTTCTCCTGAGTACATTCACTGACACGATTCACTAATTACCTAACAGATTCTGTGTAATTATTGATTAATAGAAATACACCACACGGATTTTATTTTCAGACAATACGGACAGATCAGTTGTGGTTATAAATTATAATAAAAAAGGCATACACGATGCTCTGGGAGCTGAAAACAAGATATGACGTGAAAATTATTCACACAGATTCACAAATTTCTAAGAATAAACATGACATTTCAAGGTAGATTTCGGTGAAGACAATCAGGGAGTACTGGAGAGCTGTTCCTATTTTGGGACTTCTTAGTAGCGAACACTGATTGGGGTTCGGACCCACGACCTTCTGGCCATATGATGAGCTCGTAGACCAATCCTGCAATCTACGAATGTTTGGCATGCGATTCGCTCCCGCCAAATGTAAGATGATGTTAGAGGACTGGACAACACTGACTCATAGTTTAGAAATAGGGAGTGAAGTGGTAGAGCACGTTGACCACTTCACTTATTTGGGAAGTACCATCAGCCCCAACGGGTTGATCTCTGACTAAATCTCAGCACGGATACAGAGGGCTAGTTTCGCATATGCCAGTTTACGCCGTCTCTGGCGTATACGTGATATCCGGCTATCGACCAAAGGGCGTGTGTACTGCTCAGAAGTCCGCTCCGTCCTCCTTTATGGCTGGCTGTGAGACCTGGCCATTGATAGTGGAAGACATGCAAACCTTGGTTAGCTGTGTTTGATCATAGGTGTCTGCGTTCTATCTCCCGTGTGAAGTGGTATAATAAGGTGAGCAATATTGAGGTAAGGCATCGGTCGAGTGCTAGGTAAGGAGGGGAAATCAGTCGACGAGTCTATGAAGCTACATCGACTGAGATGGTTAGGACATGTGTTACTTATGCCTAGTCATCGCCTTCGTCGACGGGCAATGTTAGCTGATATAGGATCAGGCTGGAAAAGAGCTAGCGGTGGTCAAACGAAAACATGGCACCAGTCAATGAAATCTACAACAGTTAGTTTAAGCCAGTCACGTAGGAAGGTGTAGACTTCCTGGTTGGGGTCCTCGGAACGGTAAAAACCAATGGTTGGAAACAATTGGTGATATGGCTCAAAATCGTTCTCAATGGCTGGTGGAGATGCATCCACTCCTTGTGACTTATGATTTCCAATGAAACTGTTTTGTTCTTCGTTATTACTACTCCTTTGTCTCACACCTCAACTTACTGTCTCTATTATGCATTTCTTCTACTTTCTTCTCTTGCTTTGTGTGCTACATGGAGTGTGGCGACTCGAACTGCCGCACATATGTGCAAAGTTCTATGTCGAAAACAGACAGACAGTAAACCAATCAGCCACTGGGACCCAATCTAATGATCTTACGGATCCCAACGTCTGCCAACTCAAGATATGTGTAGCTCAATCGTCATCCACATGTCATCCATGACGAGTAACTGCCCTCACACACGACCTACTGTCTCCCGCTGGTTAAGGCTTCTCACCAGAACTCGCAGGTAACTACCCTCCTGAATGGGGTAAGTCGCTAGTGAGCATCAGATTGGTTTTCAGGGATTTGATTTGATTGGTTGAAGGATTTCATCAAAACAATCAACTGTTAGATGTTAGCAACAAGATATCTTATTTTTGAAGGAGCCAGGGTGAAAGTGATTATGCAATTCAAGATCAGTTGTTCTGTGAGGGGGGGGGGTAACTACAAGTTATTGCATAATCGAGAAATTCATAAAATGATAATGACTACGAATAACAGAATGACTAAGTAGAACTGAGCAAGATGCAAACAAGTCAACTGAATTATCTAGGGCAGTAATCATAATCAAATAACAAAGTCAAGAGATTGTCACAAGGGGAGGGGAAAAATCGTTTTTAGAAAACCTAATACAAAATATGTAGTTGGCCAAGGTAAAGAGAGGCGCTGCAGAAATTTCTTTTTAATACACAAATACGGTCTGTTCAGATGAATTCCGATTGCCTCTACTGTATGAAAAAGTCGTACTCGTAGACCATACGGTGAGAGGTTGGGTGATATGCGATAAATCAATTTAGAGGCTTTCTTAGAGTCGACTTGATGTCCCGTATCGACGAGATGAGCTAGTATTCAGCTGCGTATAGCTTAATTCGGACCTCTGTGAAATCAAGATGGGAGGTGTTCAGAAAATCGACGATGAACTTATCTCACCGTACGCCTAATGTAACTAGCTCCGCTGGAGAAAAGACCAGTAAATACACATGGAAGAGGCAAAACTGGTCAGACAGTTCGTCGTTACTTTCTAAAACTGAGTGAGTATTGGTTAGCTAACGAGTCGAATTTCATAATTATTTTCATCCCACCTTCCTTCAAAACTTAAATATCTCCTTGCTAACTTCTACTAGTCATTTTGTTTTGATGACTTTTAATCTCTTATTTTCGACCCTTCCCAACCCCTGTTTGTAAGAGACAAGTCTTTCTTCCTAATATTTCTGCGATACTGTTTGATTTAAATCACGTTTACATAAAAGAATACGTAGGCAGTCTCATTTAAGTCCACTTCAAATCGGAGTTTGCGCTGAGGATGTCGCCTAGAATGGCAATGACATCTGCGCCATTAAACCATCAAGCTAAGAGAACACAACTAAATCAAAAAAACATTATTATCCTGAGTGGAACAT